ATTATTATTATTATATTATGGAAAACAGTATTTTCAGAAGTCATATTACATTGAAATTTAAATTTAAAATGATATTTCCAAAATGTTCTATAAAATATCGAGTTTACATGAATAGAGAAAATAATTACAAAAAGCCACAATGACAGTAATATGAATTCATAATAGATAAACAAATTATTGTTCTAATGGAATTCAGTCATAAAGTTTCTTATTTCAAGATGACTTAATGGAACGTGTTTAGAACACTAACAACACTTAAGAAGTGCGTCAGGATTTCACACAGATTTCACAGATAGCAAAGATTTCACAGAACTGATACACTAGATTTTAGGAGTGGTTTACTCCTAATTAGAACAAAAAATTATCAAATTTTCACAGTTTGTCAAAATCTGAACCTTTTTTTGGATTAAATTTTGTTAATTTAATCCAAAATCAAGCAAAATCAAGTTAGTTTTTTGACATGATGGTTGTTTTATTGATGGTATTTATATTGTTTCAGTTCAAATTCCCGCTTTTATTATATTAATGTTTTCTTGCCTAGTAAAATTAATTTTATTTATTAAAGAACCGTAAGAGCTGTTAGCTGGTCATATCATTGTAGCGTGTTTGTCAAATAATTTCCGCAGTTCCTTTCAGTGTCATATCATCCATACACTATTCTATATCTGATATAATCCTCTTGGTAACTATAGGGCAGACAACTTTCTTCTTTCCTGGATTTCGTGTACACCGATAATGCATTTTTTTTCTATTGGGTGCTGTTGTATGACAAGATCCGTCAGTCCGTAAAATTTTATGCAAAAATATTAGTTTTTGGGCCTCAGTTTCCTTCATTGTTCCTTGTTTTTGTTAGAATTTTAAGGGTCCTCTGAAAAATACACTATAATTATTAAAACATTATGCCGTATTTTAAAAAATCCATTTTGATCGTCAAATCACTTTTTTGGAGACACAGACAAGTTCATTTATGTTTTGTAAATTGGAGATTCTCCTTATTTGCAAAGTAAAGTAGATCTCTGTGGCTTTTAAGTTTTTGTACCTGTTCGCCAAATTTTTCAAACATTAATTACAAATTACATGGTTTCCGGTGCAAAATATTAAATAAAAAGTGCTAAAAACAAATATAAAATTTTGAACGTAAGTTGAGCTTCAGTATATTTACTAATTTATTGTACCTAGATTATAAATGCACCTTAATTAGAATTATATTCAACTTATTTCATAGTTGATATTTAGAACATAAAAATAATATCGTTAGGTATGCCAGAGGGCAGATCGTAGCAGTTGAAAGGAGACGCCCGACAAGCTCTACTGACCACAACCCCTTGTATTATTCAGGAATCAAGAATTGAGCAGTAAAGTTCCAGAAAAGGGGCCAGACGATGATGTCATGCAGAAATATCGCGTGCAAATTCTACCCCATCATGTACACGCAGGAAACGCGCAAAATATTTCAGTTTTATTTGACAGAAACGTGGAGTGGCCGGCCAGACGCAAAAACGGGCCCACTATCCTTGAGGTAGTCCCTTCCAGCGCAAACGGGACTCCAGTGGCGTGTCGCGGATCGCAATTATCAGTGGGACCATCAACCAGACACGCGAAAGACAAATTGCAGGGAATTTCAAAACGAAAATTATTCGGGCGACCACGAAATAGACGGGAGAAGTACGCGCGATAAACCGCTTCAAGTTTGGTCGACCATTAACAATATAAAAGCTCCGGTTTAGGTGTAAGTGAACTTGAACTGGCGTAATTGTGATTACGGTAAATCCGAGAGACCATTTTTAAAATAATGTTACAGCGGCCCTGGCGTGCGGTCGGTGTAGCGTACCTTCCGTGCACACCTGTCGCGTGGTCTGGACGATTGTACCTTGGGTGCACAGTTGTTAAAAACCAAGAGAATATTGTCGACGTTTCTAATTAGATGGGACGAGATTGAACGCCACTAAGAAAAGTTACCGATAAAATTCACGGTAGTTACCAGTACGCTGTCCTCTTAGGCATGATGTAGATCCCAAACCAAAATAAAAAGTGGACGTCCCAATTTACACGTGCACACTCGTACTTAATGTAAACTAAACTCCGTAATAACTTTGCGCATTTAAAAAAAAACAATAACTTACCACATAAATTTCAGGCAAAAATCAAACTGTTAATTACTTCTGACACTTTTACACAAAGTTATAATGTTTATACGCGCCGCGGCAGTTAACACAGAAAAACGGCACTTACTTCGAAAGTTCGTCTACTCGTTCGATGAGGTAACGCGCACCAGTTTCAAAATTATTTGAATTTCAGTACGTTTGTTTAAGAAAGTTTAGGCAAATTTCACAAAGTAAATATAACCTCGCCATCTTTTTCTAAACTCTTTACTGCTCCAGCGCCCTCTTCATTCAATTAATGCGGAAAGCACGAAATTCGTGGGAGTGAAATTGAAGTGCCGCAAAATTCACATGACCAAAAAAAGTACGCTAAAAAGTTCTTCGTTCGGGAGGAAAAAAAATCTAAAAAGCTATTTGAAAGTAGATGTAAATTCCTAAAACTGTAATAGCGTTGAGTCAAATGGCGACATCTGTGCTAACATGGCCGAACGTAAAAGAATAAACTGAATTATAACATACTGCTTCCTGTAAATCGACTCGTGAACTATGAGTGGCTGTTATGAGATGTCGCTAGCAGCAGACGCAAAAAGAGGCATAGCATAACTAACTTAACCACTGAATCATGAGACTTGGTTAAAATCGGCATGTCGCGCATGCGTATCTAGATGCAAATAAGCATCTCTACCAAGCCAAGTGGTCTGTTTCGTTTTTTATCCTTAAAGGTTCTTTTTTATTTATGTAAAAGGAGAAAACTGTGTGTTCATTGTTAATTCAACGGGAGTAAAATTTTATTAAGCTGGACAGGACTTCATTTTAGTAGGTCTTACATGAAAAAGGAAAACCCATTACTTTTTAAGCGTTGGTATCTTTATTTTCATAGCAAATACAAAACTTAAGAGTAAATTTTTACAGATCGTTGTAATTGTTGGAATAAAAAGAGACATATATGAACATGGCAGTATAAAAACACCTTAACACATACTAAAATGAGATCACAACAGACCCCCATATTTAAACATAAATTAAAAAAATGTTATACAAATTAATATAAACGGAACTATGATATATAGATTTACAAAATGTTAAAGCCATTTTTATATAAATATTGCAAAAATTTTTGCTAGGTAATATCACAATTTACACATTTATACATTAGAGCAGTAAACAACAAATAAATTTAATATAATTTTATGTACAAATGTTAAAACGATCTGAAAACAATTTCATCGAAAACAAATGCCGATGTATGGGAACTTTATCTATTTACACAATAATCATGATGTAATGTTCAACAAATCAGATTATTACACTCTGAAAAACCAAGCTTTTAACTCCAAAATTATCCTCATGAGAGTTATAAACGCTTTAATACTGTAAACTGCTGAGTAAAGGTTCCCATAAATATTATATTACTTGTTTCTCAAAGCGTCAGCAATTTGTCTGTATAAAACCACGGTGCGAACCACGTCGCTAGCTTTTTTGTCATCTCGCTTAAATAATTTTTTTTAAAAAATCAAATTCGTTTTCCACGACGAAAACTGGCGCAGCCGGTAGGATTTCCGTGAAACAAGCATTCCAAAATCGACACTGTTTGGTCTCTCTCAATCAAATCCGAACAACACAAAAAACTGTTCAAGTGGGTGCAAAGTGCTCAATTGGCCAGGGGAAGGAACAAGCATCGTCCACAACCCTATTGGTGCGAAATAAGGAACAAAAATCGTCCGAATTTCATACGTAGCCCAGGGAAGAGACAAGCATCGCTCATCCTATTGGAAAACTAGATTAAGAAACGAAACAACCAAGAATGAAAATCGTCGTTCTCTCACTGTTAATGTAAGTTTTTCTTTTGTAAATATTTTTCTGATTCAAACTGGAAAGATTAATTCCTCGTTTTGAAACATTAGAGTTAAAACCTAGAGTAGCTTCTGTCGATAATTTTAATACATCATTTGATTCCGATTCCGATTCTGACATTAATTTAAGCACAATGCCGGATACGGTGAATCTTCAATTAGTTAGGTACCAAGCGGATAACATCCCTCATTTCGACGGCAATCCTAAACAAATAAATCGTTTTATTAGAATCTGCGAAAATTTTCTAACTAATCATCAAAATGTAAATAACCCAAATGCTTCAATAAATGTTTGTTTAATCGATACAATAATTAGTAAATTAATTGGTAGAGCAGCTGATTTAATAGCTTCTCGTTCTGAACTCGATAGTTGGTTAAAAATTAAAACAGCCCTTCTGGCAACGTTCTCCGATCAAAGATCAGTTGATTGTCTTTTACAGGATATAATTTCAATGAAACCCAATAGTAGCGAAAGTGCGCATAATTTTGGTTTACGCTTGCAAGATGCCCGTAGTATTTTATTTTCAAAAATTAACTCTACATGCGAAGATATCAATATAAAAACTCTAAAAATTATCCAATTTGAAGATCTAATTTTAAAAACATTTATAAACGGTCTTAATTACCATATGCAGTTAGTTGTACGTTTAAGAAATCCAAAATCTCTCGAAGAAGCCATGTCGTTCTCGTTAGAAGAAGAAAATTTTATCGCTTATAAAAATCGTGTTGATATTTCAACCAAAACTACACCTGTTGCAATGCAAAATAAACCAAAACCTCTATTAGGTCAATACCCAATTAATTACCCATTAGCTCCACAAAATTTTACTAGCCCATTTCAACCGCCAACATTTCGACCAAGTTTTAATAATTTTAACCCCCCGAGATTTCAAAATAATTTCCAAACAAGACCTTATTTTCAGAATATTCCAAGACCACATTTCCAAAATAATCAAAGACAAAACTTCCCGAATATTCAAAGAATAAACCCGATGATCCAAAGACATCATTTTAATCCAAGACCTTACCCATTTATGCAAAGACCGATGTTTAATCAATATAACCAAAATCCTACCGACTGCGCCAGTTTTCGTCGTGGAAAACGAATTTGATTTTTTAAAAAACTTTATTCAAGCGAGATGACAAAAAAGCTAGCGACGTGGTTCGCACCGTGGTTTTATACAGACAAATTGCTGACGCTTTGAGAAACAAGTAATATAATATGTATGGGAACCTTTACTCAGCAGTTTACAGTATTAAAGCGTTTATAACTTGAAAAAACTAAGCATTTATGGAAAAATATTCAAGAAGAAAAAAACGGTGCGCAATAATTTTTTTAATATGCCGAACTACCTCTAAATAAAGCCGACGGATGTTAAAAAAAATCCAAATATTGAGGTAAAACACATATTTGATAATAATCCACACTGCCTGCTAAACGTACATGTCAAAAAAATATTGTAACTGCAATCTTTATCTTTTCGTATATTTTTTTGCTGGAATTGCTTGTTTTGCGGTTCTATAAATAAATTTTGACAATCAAAAATGTACCTGATTGGCACCAAATTTTTTTGCCTACATTTTTTCTTTTGCGGCGGTTAAAAAAGATATCCATCCCGATATCCGTTGACAGACTCGTAATAGGTGTGAAATCCGCATTGTATCTTAGCTTCATAAAATTACCGCTAGAGGCGCGCTATTCAAAGCGATACCTTAAATGCCTGGGTGAAAAACATAACGAATGGAACAATCCTCGTGATGGATGAGCTTATAGCTCTATCCATAACCTAAACTATACAGAAACCATAAGGATTGTTACGATGACGTAATTGAGTGACACTTTAACTAACCAAAATCGAAAGTAAAACTAACCCCCTGCACTTTGGATGCAAATTTGACATTTTGACACAAGAAACAGTCCCCCGAAAGATTTTATCTTACGCTCTTGACTACTGAATCATCTGCAAGTACCTGTTCTCCTCCAATAGTGAACTCAACGAAGAAGTCATGTCGTTTACTACCATGTTGGGATTAGAGGGGTCGGTACACTTTCCGAGAGGATGGGTGGTACTCGTCACCATATCCGAATTGGAAACCCACGACTGACAGTTCTGAACGTATTCCAAAGTCCTCTGATACGCGTCTTCTCTCATGCCGAGCGTTACTGTGGCGTTGTTTCCGTTCTGATTCATTTCCGACTGGCTGATGTCTTTGCACTGCACCTCGTTATCGTTGAAACCGTTGTTAGGTTGAGTTTGGCCGAACTTTATCTTCCTGCAGTTGCCGCAGGCTGCGGGGTTCGCACCGCACTGGTTGTTGTGGTTCGAATTGCACTGGTTGAATTGTTGCTGAAAGGGATAACAATCCTGGTTGTAGTGGCCGCACGGTCGGCTCATCTGAGCCGCTTGCGGCTGACTCATGATGTCGGACGGGGCCGTCGTAGCCATCGCTGGCGATGGCAGAGGATTGACCCTGTTGGGCACGCAATACCTGCAAAGATGGGCCGTAGAGTAAAAGAAATTCGGGAGACATCCGGAAAGAACGGAATTTTTATACGGAGAACATATTAAAAATAAAAGTCCTAGTTTTATTTTAAATTTACTTTGCTTGCGCATTGATTGTGATACAATGGTTGTTCTGTGCTTTATACATACGAATCTATTTTTTATTCCCTGTACTATTAAGTTACGTGATATGTCTACATATATAATTTTTTGTCTTGAAAGATCTAACTATCTACCTCTCTGTTGATAAAAGTAAATTAAATATGATGTATATACACAAAACAAAAGTAAGCTGTAAAGTTGTCCGAAAAAAACTTTTCAATGTTTACGACTTTGATATACAGCTGTTATTGTATTGACATCACATATTTTAATGGTAAAATAATAGATAAGGTGAAATGCTAAGAGTAATAATGATTTAACTATAAAAATTACAACAAATAAGTCCGTAAAGACTTCTGAATAAAACGTAGGTCTAGGAACAAGTATGCCACTGAAATTATCTACCTGGAGTACTGTCTTTCATATTTAAAAGAAGAGCCATAACGCCATAACCAAACTGAAAGATTCCATTTAATTGATAAAACTGTCAAGGGCCATGTTGATTGTTGACCGTCTTAATGACTGAAAGATTTTCTAGCACGGACAACCGTTTTATACTAACTATTTTTTTCTAACACAGACGCCACCGTTATAAAGAGTATTTTCGTTTGATTATAACAAACATTGTCTTGTCCAGGGGCAGATTATATCGTGTCAAGGTCAAAGCTACAGGTTTGTAACTCGGTAAGGCAAGGTTTACCACATGGCAGCACAATTTAGTACCATCGAAATCCAGAGAAGTTGAGTATCAAATTCAAGGGTTTCGAGTGAATGAAGAATTAGATTTAAGATTTGAATATTTTTTTCTAGGATGCAAACAAAAGAATCCCAGTGGTGCGTTAATGCACCACCTAATCTATGATTTTATTTGCCACATCCAGGAAATATTTTTGCACATCCATTTACAAATTTTACTATTATCACTACTAAAGGACATAAAACTGTAGAAATCGCTAATTTATATGTAAACGAAAGATCTTATATATGTCTTCAAAAGTTAACAAAAGCGGTACATAAATTTCAAATTTGTATTACCATCTTTCTTAAGTCTATAGCATGTAGATTACATCGTAGAAAACATACATTGGAAGTACTATATTGATTATTCTATATTTTTTGAAAATATTTACTGGTGCCTGAATGCACCAATGGTTTTATCTGTGAAACAAAACTTTGTTATTGCAAGTCTAGACAAGTCAGCGTATGTAGAATAAACATCTAACAATTAGCGTGTTCTTTAGTATTAGTTTGTGCCTTGTGCAGTAAACCTTGACACATGCATTCTTAAGTGCAACAAAATAAATACTTTCAGAGCAAAAAAAGCTTTTTTTTATTTTTTTTATGCTTGGGATAATATGGGTTAATTTGAGGTAATAAAGTTACGAAAAATGAACACTTTTGTGGTCCTAGTGGTGAAGTCAAATGACTTTCATATTTACGTCTACATTAAAAGACAAAAAGAAGAGCCATAACCTTCCATTTAATTGATGAAACTGTCAATGGCCACGTTGATTGTTGAAAGTCGTATTGATTGAAAGATTACTGACTGGAGTAAACATTATACACTAAATCTTTGGAGTTAGCGTTTTCGAGTACAGACGTAACTATTATAAACAGTATTTTTGCTGGATTCAGCCTTTAAATTATCATGGTGTCTTACGGTTAAAATACGATATGCGAGGAGTATCCTTAATTTCCTTAGAGTTAGAAGAATCAATCGACTCGTGTGCAAACCTATTAAGCAAACAGTTCGTCATAACTCGATAAGTCAGTTTGCGAAAATACTCAAACAATTTAGGTGAAACCACTTTCATACTCTCCACGTTGCCCAGTACAATTTACACGAGAGGTTCGTTTATTTTTGTAGGGTAAAAGCGGGATAGACGCCCTTGGAGGGTAGACGCCGCACCTTAAAAAAAGAGAATTTAAAACCAAATTCCTCGGACAAACCTCGCCCCGCACAGCACAGTCTGCGCACGCGTTTCGACAGGACTGCACGTGTCGCCGCTAGAGTTAAAAAAACGTTGCAAAATTTTACCGCGCTGGCATGATTCTTGTGACAGTGACATTTTGACGTGTTCAGAACTTTCGTTTTCGAAGGTAAGTTTTAAGTGCGTATTGTTATTTAAATGGTACGTATCATTTATATTTATGGTGTGTTTATAAAATTACGAAATTATTTAAGTATTTTTATTTATTTGCTGGGGCGTCTATCCCTAATAAAAAGGATAGAGGCCCCACTATTGACTGAGTATAGACGCCCTTAGAAGCATGACTTATTCACAGGTACTTAGGCTATAGGTAAGATTTTTTAAAATAACCTATCTAGTTAATATGCAACTTTGTAGGAAAATAGACTTTCCAGTTTATCAGAATCTGACCAGACTAAATCTAACAAAGAAAATACTCAATGCAGAGAATGTTTCGATGACTATGCAAGTACCAAGTCCACGGCGGACTGGATTCGGTGCCTGATGTGTAAACTCTGGTTACACGAAGATTGCACTCTCTATGGCGATTACTGTAATAGATGTGGACACAAGAAGAAGCTTGCAGCTCTAAAAGCTAACCTGGCCAAAGTGAATTCAAAGAATAAGTAACCTGGCCAAAGTAAACAGTATCTCTATATTTGTTGATTATTTGAAAATTTTGATTACTGTTAGTTTTTTTTTTTTTAAGAAGGAAGCTTTGTTTTTTGTCCAAAGAAGTCCTAAGGGACGGATTTGTTTTAAGTTTTATTATTCCTAAATTTAGTTCCGTAAAGTTTTAAATAATTTTTAATAGACGTTGTTAAGTTTACCCAAAGAATGATTGAAAGACCGAGCCATTTGTTCCTACAAAAGTGCCATTTACTTTGGTTTTACGGTATATTTGGATAAGAAAACCTCATAATATATTATTGTGCAACTAAGAAAGCAAATAAACATTTTATTTAATTTTTTACGATTTTTTTTTATTACGGAGACATCTATCCCATTGTAGGGCATCTATACTCATGTCTACCCCATACAGTAGGCGTATATCCTCAAACAATAAGTTTTTTTAGTAGATAGAGTAGATAGTAAGTATAAGGACTATAGCTGTTACAAATAGTGCTTTAAAAAAAAAGTTATATAGTCAGCTTACAAAAAGTGGGGCATCTATCCCACCTTTACCCTGTGTTGTCTGTCGTCTGGTAACTCACCCGGGATTGCCCATCGGCTGGTAGTTCCCGCAATTCCCGTTAAAGTTGCCCGACATCGGCTTGGTGTTGGGATGACACGCGTTGCTGCCGTACCCGTTCACGTTGCACGGCTGGTAACCCGCGTGGTGATTCACGCAGTTGCTCGTCACTCCCGCAGTCACGTACCCGCCGCTCATCTGCATCTGGTTCTGGCACTGACTCGTGTAGGCCTGCTGGAAACCGCACCCGCCCGCGTGCTGGTTCCCGCCAAACTGCTGCCCGACCACGGGGACGTTATTCTGACACCAGTTCATCCCGTCGTAGCAATTGTTGTGGTTCGGCGCCCGATTGAGGCACTGCTGGTGGTTCATCGGTTTCATCTGGCCGGTGGAACAGTTTTGGGGTACCATCCGGGTACCCGGACTCGGCATCGAGTGCACGGTGTTCCCGGGAGACAGCAACTGCGACTGGCATCTCACCGAAACGGGTGACGAAACCATTTGGTTCATATTCGAGGCCGGCGACGCCATCGCTTGATTGGCCGGCGAGTGGATGGTCTGCATGTCGCCGTACATCGACGGCGGTGACGGCATCACTTGGTAATTCGTCGACGGAGAAGGCATCATCTGATTGGTCGCCATTGGCAATTGGTTGGCAGCCATAGGAGAGCCGATCATCCCCGGTTGATTCGACGGTGTAGGCGACATCATCAGATGGTCGGGCGGATTGGGAGAAGGCAGCAGCTGATTGATGGGCGACAATACTTTGCAGAAACTCGCCGGGCTCGGTAAAGGCTTGTCCGCTACGTTCTGGGCGACCGTCTCCGACCAACTCATGGCGGTCAGGTCGCCGGCGGTGTGGGTGTCGGCCACTTGGTTCAAGTAGATGAGCATCTCGTCGGGAATGACCAGTTTGTTTTCGACCATCTCTCCTTCGGCCACTTCGTCCAACACGACCGCTTGGTTGGGGTGGAGGTCGGACGAGTTCACGGTACCCCTGAGCGGCGATAATGTCACCGACGCCGGTCGAGGTTGGGGACTTTTGCGGTCGCTGATGGTGTGGCAAGGTTCAGACATGCGTCTACCCTCGGTGCTGGTTGCGGACTGCGCGACCATACCGGACAGCCACGACTGCTGCATGGCGGTTTGTTGCAAGTTCGCGTTTTGCGTCTGGAAGCAGGACTCCAGTCACGAAGGGGATGATACTGCGGGGCGGCGTTTAGGGAGTTTGGTCGTAAGGGTTACATCAATAGTTACACAGGATGTAATGGGGTTTGAAGCAGAAAAGTTCTGCAAATAACTTCTGCAATTAGGGAGAGTCGTTACAAAGGTATAAAATATGGTACTTTCCACTGGGGTTTTAAAAAAGATTAGTGATTTTTTACTAATTGGCAAATAAAGTTATAGAATAACGCATGGGACTATAATAAGATATGCTTGAACGATTTTATGAAAAAAAGTTGAAATCGATGTACAGGATGTTGAAATAAAAAAAAAAGGTTTTACATTATTTTCATCGAAACTGCTATCGATATTTTCTCTGGTAAAGGTCTGTAATGCATAAAAACAAGATGTTTCATAACAAGAAGGACGATTTTTTAAAAAAATTATCAATGAATTCCTCAATCGTTTGTATAAATTAAAAAAAAAATGGGTTTTCCTGATTTTCGTTGAAACTGCTTCAGATATGTTGAAATTTCTAGCAAAAACATTAACAACAACATTAAAACATTAAAAGTTAAATAAGCGCAATGTCAGTTTCTTCATGTGAAAAAAAATTACTATGTTGCATATAAATTAACCAAATGGAAAAACATCGGAATTTCACAAAAAACGATTCTTTAAATCTGCATGACAGGAAACAAAAAGTTTATTACTATAAATAAATTTAAAAAAAAAACACATACACATAAACACAGAAATAACACAAATAACTTAATCTCTCTCATACATCCCACTTCTGATGTTGGTCCTACGCATTGCAGGAATATGTTTCTATAGCGTTGTGGACCTATATCAAACAATCAACCAAATAAAATAACGAAAACCCGTTTTTTAACTTCCTTGTACTCAAAAAAATATAAACATAAACTTTTTTTAAGGATGAAATACGCTATAAAGGGAGAGCGTCCATGACGTTTCAGAATTACGGATATAGATAAATAGATATAGATAGAACTTTTTAATACCGCTTAAAATTGAAGCATTGCTTCAATGGGTGCTGTTGATTAGTTTTTAAACTATATTCCACTTTTGAATACAAATGAACTAAAACACTCAGTACTTACCTGCAGCACTAAATTATTTGACGGGGTGGCGCCAGGTAGATTTTGCAATTTCTGTAGTTGGCCAGCCAGAAGATGAGACGGTGGTGGGGGTGGCACGCAAGCGCCTCCCGTAGTGGCTGTAGATAATTGGCTGGAGCGCCGAGAGCTTCCCGCAGAAATGGGATCGTAAAAAGAGCCAGGACCTATGCCGGTTCTCATGCCAGACACCTAAAAGCCAAACCACAGCCAAGTTTTAGGTGGAAGTAAACATCGGATAGCACTTACAAGAATGGCACAGGGCTATACTAAATCTTGACTTCTTTTGGGAAAAGAAAAACATTTTTTACATTTATGAGAAATAGGAAAATAAATGAATTTCTTGCTGCCTTTTTGACTAATTACGAGGGAAGCGCCAAAATTTGACGTCCTGAATATGAAAGAAACAAAGTAGAGTAACATTTTTTTATTATTTGTCAATATAATCCCCCTTAACTTCAACACACTTATTACGTCTCTTTATTAACAACTCAATCCCTTTAAAAAAATATTCTTGTGCTTTGTCTGCAATATAAGCTAAAACAGCCTGGGGGCCATATCTGGACTATAGGGAGGATGATCTATCTGTTGGAATCCACACTCTAAAATGGCATCTTTAGCAACACCAGCAGTATGGACCGGTGCATTATCGTACAAAAGACGCACGCCTCTGGTCAGTTTTCCTCGACGTTTTACACGTCTGCAGTCTCGCAATTTATGTAATAATGTTGCGTAATATTTACCATTGACAGTGGTATCAGTTTCTTTAAAATCTATCAAAAGAATTCCTTCACAATTCCAAAAGATCGTGGCCATCACCTTTTATGTTGACTGGCGGACTCTGAATTTTTTTGGAGGTGCCCTTACGACGTCACTCCATTGATTCCTTTTTTGGTCATAAGGGAGAACCATAGTTTCATCTCCCGTCACAATGTTTTCTATCACAGGCTTCGGTTCCGACCCACAGAGTTCCAAAAAAGGCCGCGCACACTCGACAGGGCGTTGTTTTTGAATAGCAGAAAGATTTTTAGGAACCCATCTCGCACTAACCTTATACATAAATGATCATGCATTCGACGAACACTTGTATAAGAAAGCTTAGTTCAAAAACTTTAGGACTGCTCTGTACTCAACTTGGGTTATTTGCGATATTTTTTCGGACACGTCTTGTTTAAAATGGTGTCAATAAAAAACTATTTGACGCAAGACTTCAATTTATTTTTCGCAGCCTACTAAGATATATATTTAAAACAAGACAAAGTTTTATCGTGATACTGGAACTGCATCTATGTCAGGCCGGGAAATTTTGGCGCTAACCTCGAATCATCACTAACGAATAAAACTTGATTATGACATGCTTAAAAGGAAACCCTAAGCTCTGTATCAGCCCTGGTCCCAGAACAGATTTTATAATTTCAAGGTTAAAAGGACCGACTCGCTAACGAAAGTTCGGCCACTCGTCTACAGATGGCAGCAAAATTAGCTCCGAAACTCATGCAAACTGTGTATCAATTCAAGCATTCCGAAGGTTAATTACGCATAAAGAATTGAACTTATTGAAATTGAAAGTGTATCATTTTTAATAATTCATAAAAACACTTTTCTCCTAATTAAGTAGTCTAATAATTTAAGTTTAAAGTTTGACTCTTAGCATGATCTAACTGCGCGCTGGGCGCGCTTTATTCAAAAAACGTAAATAATTTTTGGTGCAGACAGAGTATATGAAGTTTGGAAAATATCAATTGCAAATAGGCTGCCGTGTCAAATATTAGAGAATAATCATTTTCATTCAAATTCTTTTTGATTTGATTTGCTTCTAAGCGATTTCATTCACATTTTCTCATTTTGCATTAATATTAAATTAGAACGAAATTACACAATTTAAAATTTGAAAACAAAAAAAAAACATTGTCAAAATTTAGAGACGGATATTTAGTTGGCACCAGTTTCTACAGAAAACTTGAGAATTTTTTATAAAATATCATTTGGTGGGTTTCCTTTATGATTTTTATGAGAATTTATGGTTATGGTTTTTATACCTGCGAAGCGACACTGCTCTTGCGGCTCATGTCGGCGCTCCTCATGCTCCCGTAGTACGAGCTCACCGTGGAACTGCTGTCTTTCCGAATCTGAGCCTGGGTATTGACCACCTGCGGCTGCGCGCCGCCTTCCATCTTCAGGTTCGTGATTCTCGTGTTGAGATCGGCGATTTTCCGTTGCGCGTTAACGATCGGCCCCTTGGGTCTCGCCGCGGGTTTCATCCTCAAACGAGGAGTAACCCTCTCGCTGGCAGCCACGCCGCCGCCGACCATGGCCCGTAGCACTACCGGCAACTCGTCGATCTCCAAGTCTTCCGCGTCGTAAGTCCATTCTTCTTCTTCCGTCCTCTGCAGGGTCCCTCCGTCCGTCGCGAAATCATCCCCGAAACCACCACCGGCTAGTTGAGTAGCCCCCAGAGGGCTACCTTGTTGCACTTGGCCGGGCGAATTGGCGTCCGATTCGGATTTAATGCTCGGACTGCTGAGGCTCGCGGTTTTGTGGCTCTGGGTGTCTTCGCTACGCGGACTCGAATCCAAACCCGCGGGTCCGTCGTCGCCGCTATGGTCCGGACCGCCCTTGTGTTTCTTGCTCGCGTAGAATTCTGCGCCGTGGACGGTTTTGACGTGTTTGCGCAGCGAGCTCGGGTCGGTGTAGCGCTTGGTACAGCCCGGGGCCTTGCAGACGTACGGTTTCTGAGAGGGGGGCGTGACGGTTAGACGAGGTTGGGGCGCGGGCGGGAACCAAATCGTGTCGGATGATTAGCGGCAAGTTTCGAGTCCAAACGCGAGAGTTATAGAATTGAATAGCTGTTTATTTAGAACTTGGCTACTATACCGGGTGACACAAGAAAGTGGGAACACCCTATGACTTTTAAACGGCTTGAGATGGCGATTTGTAATTTGGAATGGTTAATATAGGCTGATGCCCATACAATATGTAATTGGCACAACCTGTATTTTTTGCATTTTTGGATTCAGGAGATCGTTCTACGCAAAATACGATGGATTTTCTCATTTTTTATTGTTTTTTTTTTTAATTTTTATTTAATTTTTGAAAATCGTGTCTAGGAGGCAAAATCCGTTAAAAAATAAGCTCACAGGAAAGGAAAAACCAGATAAGTAAATATCTTTTTTTCTTTTCAAACCAACACAATATTTTGAAAATCCGTTAGAAAATAAAACCTCAACAATGTCGGTAGTACCGATTTGAAAGTGGTACTGGTACTGTGGTACACTGTATGACAACTTTTACATTGACACAAATCACATTCATTTAATAAATAAATAAATAATAATAAATTAAATAAGTACGAAAGTACGTTCTTCAAACTGTCCGGGACGAATAATTAAATTAAGTTAACGAAATTAATATTCTTGTCACGTTTATCTAACAGCCATTTACAATGTCGAAGTCTTCTTACAAGTCAACTTCATAAAGACGCCGATGAAGGTTATACTTAAATGGATGGTAGCCGTGTTTTCTTTTTTAATTCTCCTCACAGATTCTCTTGAGATGCCTAGTTCTAATGTCACTTCCCTTAGCGACGCAGAGGGATTTACGTTGACTTATCCACACAACATTGATTTCCGTTTCTTCATTTATAAAAAAATTATCATAATTTTCCCCATTATTCCCCGTGTATCAGAAACATATCAACTTTTTCTCCATTTGTAAATTGTCAGAATTTTCAATAATGCCGACTTGATTTTGATGAGATTTTGAAAATTTTGGTGTCGAAATGATGCAAAAAAAGAACAGATTTTTTAAAAAGTTTTTGTTCCCAGTCAAATGCCAAAAAAATAAATGCCCAAAAAAATTTTTTAAGTGGCACACCCCGTATCTCGGAAGCATCTGGACCCACATTTATATCTACTTTTTTTTCTGTATAACATTAATTTATGCTTATGTAAAAGTAGGGGCACTTTTTTATGCTTATATGGAAAACTAGACTATTTACATGAACAGTCTTACTCCAAAAATATTATGAGCACTAACTAAAAGAATATAAAAGAGGTAACACAGGTATTCAAAAGTTAAAATTAAATTTTCCTTTTGTTTTTTTGCCATTATGGCTTGGAAACTTGCCACTAACCGTACAAACAGAGTGCCTATACTTAGATTTGTATGCGAATCCGTAATATTTTTAAGGTCTTATTTTACATTCATATTCTCCATATTCAATTGAGAAATTTTCAAAATTTGATTGGAAAAGCTATAGAGGCGACCTCAAAACTAGTCAAAATACGAATTTCGAAGTGCACTTTCAATTTGTACAAAAAATATTCCACTTTGCATATCTTTAACGAATAAAAAAATTTACGAATTCGAACACACTTACAAGTCAACACTCTGTATATCCATAGCGGTTTGGGTCCAACCGTACGTCGTTCAATTAAGCATCCTAAGAAGTACTTACGAAAGATGGCCTTTAGGTATGAGGGAACGCAAGAAAAAACCGCAATAATTGAATGTTGGTTTAGCAGGAGCAGGAATCATTTAGTTACCTCGTTGCTGTGAGTCCGGTTCTGGTGTTTCGCCCTGTCAGACGCGTTGCTGAAGGCCTTCGAACAGCCTGGATACTCGCAGGTGTAAGGTTTCTCGCCCGTATGCGACCTGAGATGCGTTTTCAAATTTTCCAGTCTGGAATAGGCCTTGACGCAGCCTTCAAACTAGGGAAGAAACGGAATCGTTAAAAATAAATCGAGCGTTTTGGAGAAAATAGAGCTTACTGTGCACTTGTGAGGCTTCTCGCCGGTATGGCGTCTCATGTGCACCACCAACATGTACTGCGCCTTGAAGGGCTTTTCCGCCCTCGAGCAACCTTCCCATCTGCACACGAACGATTTCTTGTTCGCGTGAATGTGGTCGTTGTTGATGTGCTATAAAACAAAACCCATGAGATCATCTGACTTCAACAATCGCACCTCTTTCTTGAAAGCAGCGGATTCTAAATTAAACTCTTGTCTCATACTCTTGGACTATAGCACAGCCTTTAACACCTTCTCCTAGCTAAACCGGAATTCTTCGGGATAAAAGGTACGGCTCTTTCTTTTTTAAAAACATTTCTTGGTCAGAGGGTAGTTATAGCAAATACTCATTCAGATGCCATTGCTTTGAAGAGGGGTATTCCCCAGGGGAGTATTCTGGAACCTATTCTGTTCTCAGTTTATATAGCTGACTTCTCTACTTTTCTTAAATTATGTAAATCTCATCAACACGTCGATGCTACTCAGTTATCTTTTGTTGCTAGTGAAGCTTTAAATGCCGCTACTAAAATAAATTTAATAAATAAAAATGAAATACCTTATGCTATTACGTCCCTCCCCACAATAAAGTCCTTCAAAAAAGCGTTAATATTGTTTATTAGGCTCGCCCGTAACTAGCGAAAACGTATGAGTTTATGATATGCGTCTATTTCCTGTGTTTACAATGTATGTACGCGTTTGTATTTTGTTGACAATTATGGTGTTGGTGCTGTTGTGTATTGTTACTTATATTGTAATATTTTAATTTTCAATAAAGGCAGTTCATTATTATTATTAATATTATTATTATTATAAGGCTTGAGCTTCAGTTGTTAAAATCATTAATAACATTTAAATAATTATGATAATGATAATTATAAAACACCTCCCCGGAAGACTTTCATTTTACAATGTGGAGAGGATTATACTGCAATTAAATTAGAACAAAATATGTTCAGTTTTTCAAATTTTAATGATTTATGACAGCTGTTTCGGCAACACCGTGCCTTTATGAAATATAAAACATGACAATATTCCGACACCTATATATAAACAGGTAGTAATAGAATTATAATAACCGGGATAGGGTTATAAATTTAAATTTAACAACGGAGACGCATTTAAGTCCAATTGGTCATTAAGTAACAGATTTGAACATCACATAGCTTCCAACAAATTTAGTTGCTTGCTTTTCGATTGCTAATGTAAAATATTGCAATTATCACGCTTGTGCATTTCTAAATTTAAATGAATTTCGCAGTAAGGATCCGAACTTTTATTTTTATACGCCCTTTTATGTTCATTGATGCGTTTCTTAAATGTTCCAAGTGATCCACATTTCAACTTGTAGACTCCGGATTTTTGAGTTTTTCGTAATTTAGTTTTATTGTTTTTAAAAAAGTGTTCTATGGTGCTTTCAGTTTTAAAAACAATATTAAGGCCAAATTTAGATAGACGTTTCGAAATTTGCTTGGTTGGTTCTCCAATGTATTTTATTGTTTTATAAATTTTAGGTTCGGTGTTTAATAGATAGATAAAGTTCAGACTTATTTGACACTGCTTTTTAGTTATAATCTTATCTGTCAAAGAGGTATCGGAAGAAAGCTATTTGTTTTATAATATTTAATTCTTTTTCAAAATTAGAAATGGAAATGGTGGTATATTAGGTAGTCTGTGGATAGAAGCATAGAAGGGAGCAATTTTGTGTGTGTAATTTATTTTGTAATAATTTATGCTAATTTGTTCTGTAGTCTAGTTACAGTTAAATTCAGAAAGTTTAGAGAGTTATCTAGTTCCGTCTCTATGGTAAATTTTGTACGAAGTTAATATGATTAATTAATATTGATTCAAAAAGAACTGCAGTTTCCGTTTCAGTGAAACAAGCAAAAACATCGTCTACCTATCTACGCCACCAGAGAAATCCTTTATTCAAAGGATGTTTATGTTCCAAAAGTCCAATTCACACAGATTGTTTTAGCGCATTACCTACTGAACCAATTAAAACCTAAATCCAATCAATTGAGAGAAAAATATCATCATTTCTTTACATTTACTGAAATGCGTCGAATAGTTGACAGTGCGCCCCTGGCTTAAGAGGTTATGTTAATTTTACGACAGTCGACGGTTAGGCCGGTGCGTTGTAATAAAATAAATATTCAAAAATGTCTCAGTATCTTCTTACAAAACGAAATAGTTTTAAGTTCGGCATGTAGATATTTCATTGTATTGGTAGTATTTGGTTTTTACCGTAATGGTATGGGTGTGGTAGAATTCAAGTGAGCCACATATGATGAGGAAATTCCAAGCGCGGGATTGTTTTGTACGAAAAAGCAGCCTCATGCGAAGGTATTTTCGGAATATAGTAAAGGTTTGTTACAAATAATAAATTTGACTTTTAGGATATAGAATTTTTCGATTTGACTAATTTAGGAGCTTCGTTTGCTCACCTTGACGAGTTCATCTTGCGTGCCAAATTCGGTACCGCAGTCTTTCCAATGACAGTTCGTTTCTATAAAATCACCCGGCTCGTCTTTGGGATCAGCCGGATCGTTCTGAGCTTCCGTGACGTGGGGGATCACGTGGGGCTCCTTCTTGATCCTAGCCTTCCTGTTAGAGCTGTCTATGTCCAGGTGCGTTATTGTACTATTTTCGGACTTTCTCCGGTCATTAGTGTTCTGGAAATGGTCGGTTATATTACAGACAAGCCTCCCATATAACCTCATACTGCAGTAATACTACTAGCTGCAGTATCCGAAGTAAATACCATAATAGAATACAGTAAAAGTGAAATCTAGTTTTCAACTATCCATGTGTACGGCAAAATACGTTATTATTTTGATTTTGATTTTGAATATCACCTGCGATACCAGTGTATATTTAAAAAATCGCGATTTTCAAAATTTGACATAAAATTATGAAAGATTCAGTTTTTGGAGACACTTATTTAATAGCACCATTAATAAAATGGCGCTCGCTTCAAAATTTGAATTGAAAGTTCCGTTATCTCAGGACCGTCAACAGAAACAGAGATTTATAGTCGTTTTGGACCCTCCTTATAATGCATCAATTTAAATTTTATTTGTAAATATAAAATAATATTAACATATTGTGACAAAATATGATTCACTAGTTTTATAGTATTTATAAAACTTACAAGCTTAGGTTTACTTTACCATATTTTTATAAACAGTAAGGAGATTTGAAAATATCTAAAAACGGCTATAGAAATTGAAAAACAATTTGAAACTTAAGATTTTGATAACCTTCGCAAAAAGTTTAGGATTTTTTTAATAGGTGAAAACTATCCAAATACAAAATCTAGCTAAATTTGGAGACCGCTATAACATTTATATTATTTTTTTAATTCATTTTTTCCACGGTAAGGGGCTAGAGGAGGTACAAAAAGTTATAGCTTGCTCACAGAGTTGCAAAAACAGGCCTGTTCATAGACCACACTTTAACTTGCCAGTTTAGGTTCACTTTATATCCATTACTTGAAAATATTCACAATTAAAATAAAGCCTAAACAGCTTTCATCTTAAAAAAAAAATTCTTGCCGATCCAGGTTTATATCATTCTTTTTAAATAAAACCAAAATTAGAAAAATGGAAAGAATAATTAAAAGACATACAAAAATACAAAATATGCTCGAATTTCTCATCTCTCTCAAGTTATATAATTAATTCCTCTAAAATATTTTAGTAGCGTCTGGTAAAGACTATATTAGTAATCGTCATCGTTTTCTAAAAATGAATAATCCAATTTTTGATGATATGCCTGTCGATTAAGAACATTCTTGTATTTTTGTGTCTTCTACATAGTTACATGTAAGTAGTGTAAGTAGATCGGCACGGTGTTCTAAAAGGGCGGTTTTGGAGTAAACAATAGGCAAAGTTAATCACGGGGTGGGTTGTAAAAGCACTATATTTTTGGTTCAAGTATACATATTTTTTATTTGATATATCTTTGCTCTCTATATTCTTTTTTTTTTGACTTGCTATAAGGTACCTGTCAAATTATACAATTATAGTCCATAAAATTCTATTTCATTCTACAAATGTTGTATATAGTGACGCCCTACTTACATCAGTCTTTAACGGTTGATGCTGCTGACCAACGGGGTGCATCGGATGATGGGGCGGCAACGAGTACACGGGCGTCGAGGGATGATGAGGCGGTGGCGGCAACAGCGGCGGAGGCGGGCCGGACGCGGCTCGCATCAGGTGCGCCTGCAGGACCGGGTGCAGCCCTTGCAGTGCCGGACTGATGGCGCCCGCAGATAAGTGCCCGTAAGACCCGCTACAGGCCGACGAAGAACGGGAACCGTTGACGATCGAGGCCAGGGAGTTAGGGGAGAATCGGATCATGGAGTTGATGTCGATGGAATCCGAATAAGGTGAGGAGGAGAGGGCCCGTTTACGGGACGCACGTACGCCACCGGGACGGGGACTGTTCAGTCGGGACCCTGTAGAATAAGATTATTTTTGTCAAAAAATTTAGTCGCAATCAATTTGAATTTTTCCCTAACTTGGCGAAATTGTGCACAATCTGGCGACGGCGCTGCCTCAAAAATTATATTCCACTTTATATTTCACTGCAGTCCAAAAATGGATGATTTCGGAGATATAGATTCTTAACAGTGTATCTTAGTTTTAGTTTTTCGTAAATAATTTTTGCATTGGTTTATTCAAGACACCTTAGGTACTTTAAAATATGGTAGGAGTTAAAGTTAAGGTAACAGAAGAGTTAAAAATTTGCGTAAATAGAAATTTAAATTAAGATGAAGAATACTTATTTTTACCTAACAAAACTAACATATCGCGGTTGAATCTACATTCTTCCTAACTTGGCAAAATTGTGCACAATCCGGCGACGGCGCATGAGATAGCTATGTTTTTGATCCCAACCTCGGTGTTCAATATTTTTTTATCGTATACTCTATTCGATTATGCCGGACAACGTATATACAGAGTCTCTCAAAAATGCTATTCGAAGGTATTGAGGGCAAAAAATTTGACCGACTAAATGAATGATTCCGTAAATCCTCAGTTTTAGTTTTTCGTCGATAATTTTTGTAATAACTTATTCAAGATATACTGTATTTATCCTAAATACCTTAAAACTTGGTAAGCTCCATCTCTTAAGATAACAAAAGAGTTAAAAATTTTACAATCAACCCTCGACAAGTATTCAAAGACGAAGAATACGAATTTTTATTCGTATTTATTTTTCCTTAACTTAGCGAAATTGTGCACAATCTGGCGACGGCGCATGATCATAACTTGAATGTTCAACATTTTTTGGTCTTATACTTTATTCAAGTGTCCCAGTCACCTTATATACAGAGTGTCTCAAAAATTAGATTTGAATTTTTGGACGGCAAACTACCTGACCGACTGATCACAGTGCAAAAGTGGATGTTTTCGCGGATACAGATTATCAAAAGTCCACCTTAGTTTTAGTATATCGTCAATAATTTTGGTAATAACAAGACATAATGTATGTACCTCAAATAACTTAAGACTTAGTAAGAGTTGGAGTTAAGATAACAGATAAAGATAAAAGATAATTTAGCGAAATTGTGCACAATCTGGCGACGGCGCATGATCCTAACCTGAACGTTCAACATTTTTGGATCCTATATACAGAGTGTCTCAAAAATGCTAATTCAATTTCAGAGATACAAATTGTCGAAAGTTAACCTTAGTTTAAGTTTTTCGTCCATAATTTTTGTATTAACTTATTCAAGACATACCGTATTTACCTGTTTATCTAAAAACTAAATGCAATATGCCCTGTATGCCCCATAAACGTTATTTCGTTCTTCCCAGCAACGCAGCATATTTTACCAATGAAATGGAAGAAGTCGTTTTTTTTAATTTTTTTCAATACCTTGTGTATGTGTATACTTTTGGAGGTGAATTATTACTTCTATAAATAAAAAAAGACCTTCTCTTGCCAATACCAACCGATTTAGAACACGGACATTTCCTTAAATATATATCCTAAATCAATGAACGTCCTGTCTTGAATAAAAATAAGCTTAACTGCTAAGTAAAGTGCGAGGTGTAGTTCTTAATTTAATTCTGATTAGAGGTATTAACTAAAGCATTCCTCAAAAAATATACACTAATACAATAATAATATCTATGCCTAAAACTAAGGGTCGTAGAAAAAGTATAGTATATAACTTTTTAAGTCACTCGTTTAATACATATACTATACTACTAATAAAATTTTGTGTTGTTATGTATTTTCATAATTCTCTTACTTCTATGCAAGTTTTCATGTGCTGATGTTCGGACTCTTGCTCGTCAATTGTACCCAAAAAAAAAATCATTTTCTGTCGGCCAATTTCCATTCGGAACGCGCGAGCATTAAGTATCACCCGGCTAAATACTTTCCGTCTCTATTGCCTATCTGATAAAATATTCATGAGGCGTCGAGAGCCGTATGATTTCACATCCGTTGGCGTTTAATACATATTTATTTTTAGATATCTTAATTGTGTGTTAAATAAAAAGCCCCTTCCCTAATGACTGTTCGGCAGACATCGATGCATTAGCTGGTTATCGTTGCTGCTTTTGTTCGCAGTACATATTTACGTTAATTTTAACCTTAGACCTCAGGATTTCAGTTGGAGTCGTGAGTTACGCGAGTTGAATAAAAATCTTGGACAATGTACGGGGTGGTCGAAAATTAAAAACCGCATCGTGATATGTCGAAGCGTTTCTGAGCTATAGGGTGATTCTTAAAAATGCGCGTTTCTCAAAACTTTTTTATTTGTAAAGATAGAGATTTATATTAAAAACATTTTTTTAATGGCGAATTTACCCCATGGAATACCCCCATTTAATAATTATTGTGAACTAGAAGTTATAGTGCGAGGTTGTTGTGTCCTCTCGTAGTCGTAGCCAAGTTGATTTTGTATGAAAAAAAAAACAATAAAATTTTATCTACACATTTAGGGCGCGTACAGCGCCTACTATGGTAAACATCAAAAATTACAAATATCTTTTAAACTAATTAATAAAAATAGGCGTATGGCACATAATTCGACATGAAATTTTATTTATATTATATATAAATATAACTTTGTGTGATGATATCTCGGGATCTAAAGGCTCTAAGACAAAACAGAAAAGATAGAGAGATTCCCGCTTAAAAAAAAATGTTTTTTCCAAAACTCTATTATTACAATTAAAAAAGTTATAGACGGCCTTTAAAATCGCATATTTTTGAGAATCACCCTGTAGCTCAAAAACGCCTGGACATATAACGATGCGGTTTCCAGTTTTTGACTTCTCTCGAAAATCCAGCCAGTAACATGCATATTAGTTTTGGGCAAACTATGCTGCAAATGCTTAAAACCATAGAGGTCCCTCGAATTTGGACCACCCTGTACAGTTTGTTCTATTTTGCTGGTTTTACGGCGTATCTACGTTATTGTTAAAGCTGGCGTTGCGACTTTGGTTAGTTTTTCACGACATTAAAGACGGAAAGTAATAGCTAATTTGTTTTTTTTTGCATTTCTAAATAGCTGTGACGTAGTGACGTGGTCAGTTTTCAAATTTTTATATGTAAACTAAACTTGTCCTGCATGTCTTTGAATATTAGCTTTTCCAAAATATGAACAAAATCAAAGCATATAACTTTAATGTTATTTTTTTTACAAGTTAGTTCCAAATTTATAAAGAAAAGCTACATTAGTAAATAAGGTCTGAGTTAAGTTGATTTCAGTATACCCAAGATTGGCCCCACCAATTTTGATGTATCTTACTAACCAAAACAAAGGTCGCTCTCTAAAAGCCTGATTAATACCGCTTATAAAATGATTTTTTTCACTCCAAACCACCGTGTGAAAACCAAAAACTATTTGACTAAGCAAAAGAAATCGTAGTAGACTAATTTTGCAAAAAAAAAGTAAAAACAGAATGTCGATATCCTTATTGGTTTCAGAGCTATTGGCAAACAATAAAATCCACGATCAACCGCAGAAGCAAATTAAAAATACAATTAACAATTCATAATTTAAGTATCCAGGTTAAATAAAATAAAATATTCAAACGTATTTATTAATCGCAAAAAATATATCGTAAAATTTGATTATAAATATCAATAAAGGATTTAAGTAGCTTACCGTCCAGACTAAAGGGAAATTCGCTACTGGCCAGGGTGGAGGAGGGATGAAGATCCGTCAGCCCTCTGGCGTTCAGGTACTCCGAACTGAGACCAAGTCCTGAAAAGAAAATCCAGTTTATAATTTAAATATTTTTGGCATTTGGCGATACGAATATTACGGAATTCTTACTAATTGGTGTTTTTTTTCGATGTATAGAACTTTAAGTTGGCATTACTGTTCAAGATGGCGACCGATTTAACAGCTGTCAAGTGATTTATTCTCAGTTTGGTTTGGCAATTCATCATGAATAGACTCACGCCTGAACAACGCTAGCAAATAGTGCAATTTTATTTCGAAAATAATGGTTCTGTGCGGAATACGTATCGCGACCTACGTCCATTTTATCGTGGACAAAATCGTCCATCGGAGCAGTTAATTCTATTAACCATGGAACGTTTTCGCACCACGTTTACTCTTATTGATAACTCGCATCCCCAGAGACGCCGTACGGTGCGTACAGAAGAAGATATTGCTGTTGTAGAGCGTAGCATTGAGGAAGACCCGAATGAGCCCATCCGCCATCGAGCACAGGAATTGGATCTGTGTCCATCGAATTTATGGACGATTTTGCGGAAAGATCTTGGTTTACGTGCTTACAAAATCCAACTCGTGCAAGAATTGAAGCCAAGCGATCATCAAGTAAGGCGTAAATTCGTCGAATGGGCGAGATTGCCGTTGTTCCCGATTTTCATAAGCGAATTTTGTTTAGCGATGAAGCGCACTTCTGGTTGAATGGCTACGTCAACAAACAAAACTGCCGCATTTGGAGCGAAGCTTATCCTCACTTGGAAGACAACATTCGCCGTGTTATTGCCGATATACAGCCACAAATGTTGGAAAAAGTCATCGAAAATTGGACGTCCAGATTGTAGAACAGAAATAAGCAAAAGGAAAATAAAATTCTTGTACTAAGTTTTGAAAATGTCTGCCTAGCAAATATAATAAATACATGCAAATATTGCATCCGAAAACTATTTGTGTACCAGCAAATATCACACAAAGTTATATTTATATATAATATAAATAAAATTTCCTGTCCAATGAGCTGCCATTAACAAATGGTGAGAAAGAAAGAGGTGGAAGGACGCTCTGGATTAAATAAGGCATGGACGAAATAAGAAGCGACCTTGAGGAACACCATTCAGAACGGCCTTTGATTCTGAGACATAACTATTAGTTCCTTCCCTTAGCTTTCCTACCCGAGTTACCTGTTATTTAAAAAAGATATCAAACATTGAAAACCATTACTACGAATACAATAACTATATAATGCGATACGAAATTATATCGTCAATTTCGATTCAAATTGAGAACATGTCTGTAGAGTGAAAGTTGATCTATTGAGCTTTTTTATTATTAACAATGGACTCAATATCATTTTGTACTTTGGGATTTGCGACCAGGCTGAAGCAATAATTGACGCGTGATATGTTGCGATCAAAGAGAGTGAGGACGTTCCAGATTTATATACGCCAGACAAATCTGAGGCGTTTAATTAGAACCTTGTTAACGTCACAATTGGCGGCGGTGCTGCCAATTTAAACGCGATGACGTTATAACAAGCTGCATGAAAACTCACATTCTAAACGCAGACGCACTCCGTTGCCAAATTTGTAGGATATTAATGGATATGATTTGCTTTCAAGGTAGGCGCGAAAAACTTATTGGTTTATCATTATAATAGAACCGTCAAAAACCATTTTATGTACAAAAAAAAATATTTAAAATTACACAGCGAGGAATCAAAACTTTAATAAAGTCATTTTTCAAACATGTTGCTTGGGTGTCTGCCGGAATAAACAAATTCAGGCTTAATTTGTGATATTAACAAATATTCAATGACTGGAACCACTTTTTCTCATGTACATTGTATCGCCAAAGTAGCGGGGACACTAATGGTTTTCAATTCACCGTTTTTAAAGAGACGGAGTTGAGATTTTGTAGATTGTCGAGTGATCGGCAACGTCGCCTCCGAACGGCACGTCCTGTGGGATCGTTGACGATATTATGGTTAACGAGCCGATGCCCTCCTGCTATTTTCAGCGTCGCGCGGCTCGGGTTGGTCGTCGGTTATTTTAACGCGCCATAATAAACGTGTCTATTAAGTGTCCCCTATTTTGCATGTCGTCGGTTACTACAACAACGGACAACCAAAGGAAATCCGACGCATCTGTCAAAATTTCAAAAAAATAATAATAATGAAGTCTGCAATGTTCTTGGAAAGAGATTATATTAAATAAATTTATTTTTGCTCAAATTAGAAATAATCTACGCAACAACATGGTTTTTATGCGAAAAGATCATGTCCCACTACCAACTGGTGCTCTCTGTCTTCGTATGTCTGTGACTCCCTGAACAAACAAGGTCCAGTTATATACACTCACTTCCAGCGTTTGACCACATAGATTATCACTTACTAATTGAAAAAGCATCTCAAAAATTTGGTGAATCTGTTAAATTATTATTGAACGTTAGGACTATGACTCGCTAGTCCGGCCACCAATATATGACTGCCACGCTCAGTCCATTGAGAGTGTGCAGAGAAGGTTACTGAAGTATCAAATGTTCAGGGAGGACGGTTCCTATCCTGAGAGTGCAGTTGATCATGATCTTCTGCTGCGAAGGTTCGCTGTACTGCCTCTGAGCTTGTGCAGAGACTTGAAATCTGTTTCATTAGGTTATTGTATTATGATTTTTTTCAATGTACGAGGTTAGCGCCAAAATTTCCCGGCCTGACATAGATGCAGCTCCAGTATCACGATAGAGCAGTCATAAAGTTTTTGACAAAAGAAGTGTTAGCACCTAAAATTATTAAAGAAAGGCTGGATGTTGTGTACGGCCAAAGTTCTCCTTCGTATTCTGTAGTGAAAGAATGGGCAAAACGTTTTCGAATGCGCCAGGAGTCCCTTGAAGATGATTCAAGAACTGGTCGACCAGTGGAGGTCATAACGAAAGATATTGTTGAGATTGTGGAAGAGGTGTTATTGAGTGATCGACGTTTAAAGGTCAAGAAAATCTAAGAAATTACTAAGCTTTCTTATACAAGTGTTCGTCAAATCCTGATCATTTAGGTATGCATAAGGTTAGTGCAAGATGGGTTTCTAAAAACCTTTCTGCTACTCAAAAACAACACCGTGTCGAGTGTGCGTGGTCTTTCTCTGTGGGTCGGAACCGAAGCCTGTGATAGAAACTATTGTGACGGGAGATGAAACTATGGTTCTCTATTACGACCCTTTATCGAAAAAAAAATCAATGGAGTGGTGAAGCACCTCCAAGACAATTCAGAGCCTGGCAGTCAACAAAAAAGGTGATGGCCACGATCTTTTGGGATTGTGAAGGAATACTTTTGATATATTTTAAAGACATTAATACCACTATGGATGGTAAATATTACGCAACATTATTACATAAATTGCGAGACTGCATACGTGTAAAACGTCGAGGAAAATTGACCAGAGGCGTGCGTCTTTTGTACGATAATGCACCGGTCCATACTGCTGGTGTTGCTAAAGATGCCATTTTAGAGTGTGGATTCCAACAGATAGATCATCCTCCCTATAGTCCAGATATGGCCCCAGGCTGTTTTAGCTTATGTTATAGCTTAAGACAAAAATAAAAGTAAAATTTTGATTACATAATTTTAAATTCTCTATGAAATCCACCAGGTAAAGGTACCACAAAATATATATTTTTAAAACTTCCAGTAGTTTTTTTAATACTTTTTCCTGACCGGCTCAACGCATTTTAACAAACTTGGTCTCGTTGGAAAAACCATTTATGGCTACATCAAACTCATCTTAACTTGTTATGTTAGGTTCTTAGCTTAGCTAAGCCTTTTCATATAACAGAAAATTGCTAAATTCAGTGCAATAAAATGAAATGAAATGAAAAATAATGGAATTATGAAACTTTATTAATGGGGATTTAAAAAAGACAAATGACCAATACCGGTGTAATAGCGCATTTTCAAAATTTGTTTTTCTTCGAAATGTTAGGATCGGAGTTACAATTATTGTTATTTCCAAAAAAATATGGAACCATTGTTTGAAATGTTTAATAGGCTGGTTGCGGCACGGCCAGGTCGGACTTTCGGAGAGACCAAACTTTATTAATTGCCACAAAAACACGAAAACGTTGATATGCTCTTCCATTGATATAATATTATCGACCACTGATTGCATAATATGAAGTCCGTAGACTGCAGACTTTAGACACCACAGTAGCAGCGATTGGTCACCACTGGAACCCCCGTTCTCCTAACCAGAGACTCGGATTTGGTTTGGTACTCCTGCACCCTTGAACTAGCAAGAATAACAATCCAATACAATTACCGCCCATATCAATTTAATATCGCCGCGACATCTTTAAAAACCGTTTAATATTCATCCCCGTCAATTAACACGTTATTAATTATAAATATTTCTTCCGTTTAAACAAACGCGTTCTCTCATCGCTCATAACGCCCGCAGACCTCATTTATGTCGTCTAAAATTATAAAGAATAACATCGTTAAACCAAAACCGAAATAGATTGCCGCACCAGCACATTTCGTTTTAGCATCGCCAGATGCATCCAGTTTGGCCAGTGGCGCCGATTGTCACGGGGCAACTCCGAGGCTCTTCGGATAATAACTCGAAATCGGGGAGAAAGAGGAGATGCATTTATTTGAAAACATATTCGTAAACATACATATATTTATAAAGCTTGAAATAGGTTAAAAACCTAGGTAAAAATAAAAGAGTTATGTATTATAAAATAACACTGGAAAAACGCAGACTGACATGAGGAAACACATCAAAAAAATTGTGTGTCTTAAATCTAAAAAAATAAATAAAAAATATGCTGGTTTTTCAAGAATTGCTTTAGGGGGGTACATAATACAGCAGTATAGCGACAAGTTTTCTAAGCAAGAGACAACGAATGGATAGGATAATTGTAATCTAATTGTAAGTATGAGAACTTATGTTCATTTATGATGATATGATAATTTGATTCTACGCTAGGTATTGAATTGTGATATTTCACAGCATTGTATATTCCCATACTATACAAATGAC